CGCCCAATTGCGACATCCTCTCCGTTCTTCCCACTGTAGGTATCAGGGAATTTCACTTTCACGTGCTCCCTGTGTGGGCGTGCTTCCTCCTCCTTTGGGGCTGTGCTATCTTGGCGCTTTCTATGACGCCAACGCAGAGATTTTCCGTATTCTCTAATTGTGCCTGCATTTCTATGCCCACACGCATCATCGTATGTAAAGTCTTTGAATCCTAAGTGTATGGACTGCAGGGCGATATCATGGCCCCTCAGATATCGAAATTGCTCTTGTTGAGCCTTCAATGCGGCTTCTATGTTTTGGGACAGGAGTTCCACTTTTTCCTGGAGATCTACTTGTTCCCCCATCTGTCCCCTCTTTTCCTCAGCCGCCCTCAATTCCTATTCCACTTCATCTGCCACCTCCATTCGCCTCCTCCTTTCCCTTGTGAGTGCAATGAACCTCGTAGTTCAACACCAGTGAGCGCACACCATCACACCACATGCATGTATAAGTTCATACGGAGTTCACACTTTAGACCAGAGAGATTAAGACCAGGTTGTGGAGCTTATGAATTCCAACGAGTTATCACAAGAGCAATAAGAGTTCCAGGTCACCAACGCTCATCAGCGGATGTCGAAGGTGTCCAATAACCGGCATGAGCTCTCAGGTAAGTATCTCTTCTCCCACTACTCTTCCCTCTTATGAATCTCCCCTCCTTGCTGGTCTTCTCCCTAGCTACGTCCTCGCTGTGTCTTCTCTCCCTACTTGCGTGCACACACACACTAAACTTCTACTCAAAGATCTACTCTGAATACACCCACTGATATTCCTGCTAACCCTCTAAAGTCTTCTGCCTACACTCTGCACTGGTGCAGCTATGGCTGCCTTCTCCCTACCAGTGCAATCTCGTCCTCTCTCTCTCTCTCTCTCCTAGCGCAGCACTCTGGCTTCAGCGCTCTGCCCCTCAGTACAGCGCACAAGTGCACCAGCACTTCCACACTTCTTGCAAATGAGCAATCTCTCCGAATGGTAGGCTGGCCAGTCCTTCTGTAGTCTTGGAATGCACTTCAACTCGTGCCAGCCTCTGCTTTCTGGGGCCTGACTGGTTCCGGTACCACATCCCTATGGCCTGTCTGCTTGTGAATGTCAAGGCCTGGAACCATCCTGAATTTTCATTGGTCTGCTGCTGCTTGGGCCTTTGAGTCATGACTTTTGACTTGTGAACATGGCTTTTGACTGTGGACTGTGACTCCTGCCTCTGGGACAAGACTCTTGCGTGTGGAACTGCCCTTTTACTCGTGGGATGTGACTCTTCAATGTGACTTTTCATTATGAGACGTGACTCTTGCCCCTAAGATGTGACTGTTTGCTGGGTGCCTGTTGGACTGGACTGCTGAGGCACCCGACTGTGATTTTATGTGACGAACTCGGCCTCTCTTAATCAGGGCCTCTGACCCTGAGACCCGAATTTGGGGCCTGAATCGTGGAAGGCCCTTCATGAGGCGCAACTTCCACTCCAATCTTTTCTCCTTGTCCATGGTCTGACGGCGCAAGGGATTTCCCTCTGCCTGCAATTCCCTCATTACGGCCTCCCTCTCCGCCTGGGGAGCATACAACATAGCTTCCTCTTCTTCCCCCAGCGACAGAATGGCTATCCACTCCGTCACCATCTTCTCCACTGGACTCCCCCTTTTCTCCAATTCTCACATTTCGCTCCAGGGGAGTGTCAACTTCCTCTTCTTATTCCTCTTCTTCATCGACAGATGCTGCAACTTCTGCTTTTTCTTTCTGCAGCCTCTTCAATTCCTTTTTGCTTTCTTTTCCAAATCCCTTCCTCTCCTTCCTGGCTTTCTGTTCGGCCCGAATCTTCATGGCCTCCTCCTCAAACTTGGTAAACTCTCTGGTCAATGTTGCCGGTCAACTCCTTTGACCTCTGGCTATGGCTGCCAACCCTTCTCTTTCGCCAACCTCTCCCTCTCTCTCCTTCCCCCTTCTCTCTTCTTCTTCGCCCTCCTCCTTGGTTATGGTGTCTTCTTTCTTCTCCCTCGTCTCTCCTTCCTTCCTTTTCCTCCTCTCTTTCTTCTCTTCTTCATCACTTCAATCCTCTTCTTAGTCACTTCAATCCTCTTCTTCATCACTTCAATCCTCTTCTTCGTCACTTCAATCCTCCTCTTTCTCGAAAGTTCGAGCTTGGCGGCTATGGCCGCCACTTTCTTCGTCGAGGCTCACCAACCAATCCTCTCTCTCTCTCTCTCTCTCTCTCTCTCTCTCTCTCTCTCTCTCTCTCTCTCTCTCTCTCTCTCTCTCTTCATCACTTCAATCCTCTTCTTCGTCACTTCAATCCTCCTCTTCGTCGCGAAAGTCCGAGCTTGGCGGCTATGGCCGCCACTTTCTTCGTCGAGGCTCACCAATGACGAGTGCGCAGCTGCAGTGGCGAATACAAGCAGCGGGGTAGGCGCGCAATCACAGCGGCACGTGCGAGCAGCCAAGCGCGGGAACAGTAGCCGCGCGGAAACAATGCGCAAACAGGCAGTGGAGTGCGCACAAGAAAACGAGTGGCAGTGCGCAACGGCAGCGAGCAATCCCCGCAGTATCGGCTTGGCGCGTAGCGGGCAATAGCGTCTTAGCGTGCAAAACGTAAGTGCGCTGGATTTTCTGAAGTGGGCACGACAGTGAGACATGCGCGGCTAGCAACAGGCAGCGGAAACGAGCGCCAGCAGCGCTAACGCGCGAGCAAATGGGGCGCGCTTATCGACGCCCCCCCCCCTCTTCTCCCTTCACAGTGCTGCTAACGTGGCACCTACGTGGCGCCCCTCTTCTTCCCTCGGCTGACGTGGTGCTCCCCTGCGATGGGATGACGACGGTGTTACAGGACAGCGGGAACCAGCTCTGATACCAATGCAATCAGACTTCTTAACTTAGCCTTCAGCATGTATACGAACAGATGACGATCAAGCTGGCGACTCGCGCTCACACAAAGCTCAGAGATAACGAAGCCACGAACACAGCTCAGACTCAAACTTGTCCCGTTCGGCTATGGCCGAACGTTCTACTCTCAGCAACTTGTTCGTACACACACCCTGGATCTCCCTGGATGTCCCGCACACACAGACCCTGCACATGTACACACACACATACACATACACACACACACACATACACACACACATACACACACACATACACACACACACCACTGAGCTATGGCAGCGATGGCCGCCTCTCCCTACAGTAACACTACCAGCGGCTATGGTCGTGTCTCCTTTCTCTCTGCCCACTTCTCCTGCGGGCACCTGCAGACCACCTTGCACAAGACGCTCAGGCAGCGCTTCCTCACGGCTAATGAGTTGATGCTGCCTCTTTATTTATACTTCGGATTGCCAAAGGTCTGCCTTTCGGACCCTGGGCTTGGGTGCACACAGTCCCACATGGTACTTGCTGACTCGACAAAGTGTGACCGGGACTGGGTACCGCTGACTGGGCAGAGTTAGTCTGCCCACTTGCCAACTTGCCCCACTTGCCTACGGTCTACCTCCTAGGACCTACGAAAGGTCGCTTCCGGAAGCTCCGGAAGGCTGTCAACTTGACCCTATGGCACTGTAGCAGCTACGACCTGGACTCTTGGGGACTGTAGCAGCTAGGACTCCTATCACTGCCAAAATTCCTAACCTACAGACCTACTGTTTAAAACCCGATGACCAGACTACCTACAGCAAGCAACAGACGGCTTCCAAGACACAGGCCACGGGTTCAAGCACACAAGGGTCAGCTGATACTGTACACGGGTAAGGACGAGGTCTGGGGATCGAGCCCTGGGAATATATCTGCTACTGTAAAGGTGAAAACCGTTTCATAGAGCAATCGAGACAGTCTTCTTCTTGATCCTTAGTTCACATTTCATGATTCCATTCATCCCAACTCATTCAGATTATCTGAGGCGTCCTGAATTATGCAGTTGTCGCACTGTTCCTGTAGTTATATCTGATGCTTCCTGTCTTGCTCTCTCCTTTGTTTTCACTATGTTTTGCTTCGTAGCCTTTGTTTTCATTTCGTGATTTGGCCCAAGATCATGGCGTTAAGATCATGGCGTTAAGATCATGGCGTTAAGATCATGGCGTTGTGGCTATGGCTCTTTCTATTGTGGCAGAGCATCACCCTGGTCTGCCTTCTAAACTGGGTGAGGCTGAAAGTCCTCATTTTAATCAAACCTGTAAGGCCCATTGCTGAACGCTGTATTGTTGTTTTCCTTGCTGGGTGCTGCTCCCTTAATTAATGGACTCCAGTGGATCACGTTTCGAAATGGACCACCATTTTTGAAAGAAGATGAGAGAGGAAGCAGCATTGTACGTGTATTTTTATTTTTCTTTCTTAATTGCGTGCTCTGTATCACTTTTTGCAATGGACCATAATTTTGAAAGAAACTGAGGAAGAGGAAGCATTTCTACGAGTGCCATGGAAAGTTCGAGAAGAGAAGCAGGGTATGACCAGTATTAAGATAGTGACAGTGCTTGTCACGTGCATTAGAGGATATACAGTTATTGTCTATTTTACCTGGGTTGCCTTGCCGGGCGTTCCTGGTTGGGCAGTCACGACCTGTGCTTGACCTGATCATTTAAATACAGCCTGATGAATTTGCTCATGGTTGACCTAGGGTGGGGTAAGGCATGTAAAAGGGCCTTAAAGGGGTTCAAAAAGGTCCAGAGGGGTGGCTTAACTTGACTTTTCCCTATTGTAGTCTTTCCTGAAAGAACCCTGAACTGACCCTCAGCTGAAGTTGTTTTGCGATTCTATATGACATTTTCCTCCCAGATTTTTGTCTTGTTTAAAGTTTTTTTGTAATTCTTTTGTCTTTGTGCGGGGGCCTGCCTTTGACAGACCGGGACCCCAACTGGCCTGGCAGGGCCACCCATGCAGTCACAGGCAGCCCGGGCACCTCACCAGGTAACCTCGGTACTTCTTACCTACTTTGACTCTTATATCTACTTCTGGCTGTTTGACTTCGGTTTTGTATCATCTTCCAGGTTCATGATCTTCAGAAGGCAATTGATCAATTGCAAGGTCCTCAGTCAGAGAAAGGCAATGTTTCACCTGCCAGGGGCAGAAGCGAAGATAATCCCAGGTTGTGTACTCTCACAAATTCAAACATTGCTTTACATTAGCTACGCGCTTGGCTTTTCATTGGTCCATTTTTTGTTGTTTTCACATGTTGTGGGTCTACCTGACTCTACTATCTATATATTTCTGATGTGAGGGTGTAACCATGCAAATCTTGTAGAGTTCACAAAGATAAGTTTTTTCAAGAGGGTTTACTGCTTATATGCTTTCAGTGTTTCTCCCATACCAACGTAGCTACCCGGCAATGCCACTGGCATGACAACCGGTCCACCATAGGTTGACCCATCCCAGTCCTCTGGTACTAGGGATGGCTTCTCTCAGTTCTCTTCAAATCACCAACGGTAGATAGGAACAATTGTCTCATGACGTTCTAATTGTTATGTTGG